AACTTGAAGTACAATGTGGCAAGGAAACACAATACATAACAAAGTAGAACACAGAAAAAGCAACTTCTTCTGATAACCTGAAAGCTTCCAAACACTTTAACATGATTTGTTTCTACTACAGAACTGTCAGTAACTCAGTGAGTTTCTGTACACTCAAATCAAGATGCTCTTACTTTAAAACATTCCTTTCCCTCCTCTCAGAAACAAACATATACATACAAGGCAGGAACCCTTGTAAGAAAACCCAACAAGAAAACACAGCTTCCTAAACTAAAAAGAGATTAGTAACGATTGACCTACAGCCAGATGTTTAACATAGTAATACATTAGAAGAAAATTCATCTAGCAAAAATAACTGGTCAGAGGAGTGAGTGCTACAACCTCAAAATTACCAGCACTATTTTAAGAGCTGAAACTTTTAGAAATTCTTAATAGCCTGGGCACAAAACTCAAGTCATTGCGGAAGTCTGGCTATTGTTTCCACACACGCTAGCGGGCTGAGGTTGCTGACGCTCCTTGTTTCTTTGTGCCTTGACAACTGTGTTGAACAAACTGTTTCTGAGAACATATTCCTTCAAGCTTGTCCTCCTTGCAAGCAACTCAGGATCAAAGCTTCACCATGCTCACACATTGCTGCAAATTAACAACAACCTTGTAAGTCAAATGTAATCCCATCACATTTGTTTTATTCAAATCTCTCTCTAACAGTAGCTCCACAGTTTGTCTCCAGGGGCTGTGCAACCAAGTATGAGGGCTGTTTATTGGCACAAGTACTTCACTAGTCATTTGTAATGGAAAAAAAGATAAGAGCTCAGGCCATCTCTGAACTGTCTGAGGAAATTCACACATCCATGGCATTGATATGTAAGACCACAATGTATCTGCAGGTGACTATAGCAAAATTTATGCTTGATAGGCACTGAAAACTTTTAAGTTATTTTTGAGCATTATATAATAAAATTACATACTGTCACAAGCAAAAAAGAGGGGTTCTGTTGTTTACAGTTAGATGGATGGGTGGCACATCTGTGGGAAGCATCCATAGGAACAGGCAGAAATCTGCATGAAAGCTGAGGAGACAACCAGAAAAACAGCTGGAAGCACAGCTCTAAAGTACTGCAGAGTAATTGCTTTTTAGGCAGAGACTAGCTGGAATAAAGGCTTTCACTGTGAGCAAGGAAACTGCTTTCTATTCACTTTCTGCCATGCTCAGGAAAACAAAATATAGTGCATTATAGACAAAACTAAATTACAGACTTACCAGTGTATCATCTTAAAAAAAAAAAAAAAGAAAAACAACTTTCAGGATTCTAGTCCTAAAGATTGTATCAATAATGAAAAAAGCTTTTTTGTCATCCCGGCAGCAAATAAAGTCATAATTACACAGCAGGAAAAAGGTTACTGAGTAAGATACTACTCCAAACTGTGAGAGTGGGGGGGGGGGGGGGGGGGGTGGCGGGAGAAAANGGGGGGGGGGGGGAAGGAAAAAATAAATTACACTTGAAAATAAAAGTAAGTCAATTTTTGATGTTTTTCTAACACAGTATGTTCATGGCTCCTAGCTATAGAAGTGGATGCTTATTGTTAGTAACAGTAAGAGACTAAAAACAAACAGATAAGGGAATCTGTTAAAACAGAGGCAAATATTTTATGCATTTTAAGGGATCAAATTATATTATAACAAAGGGCAACTCTCACATATCTCATGCAAACATCAATATTATTTAGTAAAGAAACACACTGTCGTGTTGCTCTTGGCATAAGGAGAGATAAACCTGGCAAATGCCAAGAATAACTAATATAGTTTAGGTTAGAAGGGACTTCTGGGGGTCATCTAGTCCAATCCCCCACTCAAAATTAATTTCACCACAATTGCTACTTCAAAGCTGGAGCATTCCTGCCAGCTGTAGGTCTTCCCTAGCTAAGATTTATTTTGGAAGTGACATACTGACTTTAAAAATCCGTATAACTCACTCTTTTTGTGCTAGTCCAAAGCTCTATTGGTACCAATTACAGTATCATTTATTTGTCATTACTGGTTTAACTATTCTTGAAACTGCCTACATGGAAATTCTTCACCACCAACTCTTCCCCAATACTCTACTCTAATATGTAACTGTACTTGCCACTACAAAAACTGTCCACTATCAAACCTTCCTCTCCCATTCAATTTCAGTCCCTTAGATCCTGTTATTCACTATGGCCACAAGCAATAGATTATGTCTTTTTTTTCTTTCTTTCTTTTTTTGACATGAAATTCTTGGCAATAACTTTTAAAATATTTGAAAATTATCTTCCTGTCTCTCACCTCACACATCTCCTTTCAGGTAAGCAATGTCAAGACATTGACCCTTCCCTTACAGGGCAGACTTTCTGGATCTTTGATCACTTGTTTCTTTGTACCCCATCTAATGAATCTATTTTCTTTCCAGTGCTCCATTTCGAAGCAGACACAGTACAAAGCAGAGCAAAAAGATTTCCTGTGTCTTGCTGGAGCAGTAGACTTCATACGTATTTCCTTAAACCTCTTTTTTGCTCAACTCCCATTGTTTTCTGCAATAATGTGATGAGTCATATGTAGCATGACTATCATTCCTACCTGTAATGCCAACATAAAACTTCCCAATTCTTCATGTACACATTTGATTTTCTTTTTTTTTTTTTTTTTTTTTACTTTACCCCATGTTTTGACTGGGGCACTTTCACCTATCTTCAACCCACTGTTCACCCCACTTCCTGACTTGGTCTCCAATTTGCTTAATCAATTTTAAATTTCAATCTCTTTGTCTGCCTTTGCTACTCCTCCCATCATGATCTTGTTTGAAATCCAGTAAGAATTCTCTGCCTCTAATAATCTAGATTCACTAAGGAAAATATCAACTGCCATTAAAAAAAGACAGATCATTGCAAAGCCCCTTTTACTCACCTAAAAATGTTACAGTAAGGTATGAGCAGCTGTGTCAGATGCAACTCTCTTTCCTGGCTTGGCTCAATTACATCCACAACAGTCTCAATAGTCTCTGGATGTGAGCAGCAACCAGCACTTTGGAGGAGTTGGTAAAAATAAGACTCCTTAACACTAATGTAGCATTAAGAAGGAGGCAATCTTTATTTGGCTGGATGGAAGAGGGGATATCTCATGGAACCACGGTAGCCTTTGAAGGGCTGAAGAAGAATTTTGAGACGCTATGCTGAGCAGAAGTATGGGCTTTCCCCAACACTAGGCTGTAATCAAGAGCAGTATCTCAAGATGCTGGCTAAACCCAATCCCATTAAATACTCTGGTAGCAACCAAATTTTATAATCCCATAAACAGATGAGCTAACCTAGCTAGCAAGTTACAAAAAATGCAAGGAGCAAGGCAGTGCTGCAAAACCCCTTTGGTAGCAATCCTTTTCACTGCAGTTCTCCAAAAATCATGGCTGCCAGAGGAGTTCTCCTGCAGCAGTCATAAGACAGACACAAATATGCTGCAGACCTAAATACTGTTCCACCTCAACAGCTATACAGCTCTGTATATTCTGTATTATTCAGCCAGGACAGGGTGTTCACTACCAGTAACCAAACCTACATTCCTGATTAGCTTTAATGAAATAAAACTATTTTTAGGATCAGTAAGCTATAGGCCAATTTCTTGTTGAAAACAAGCCTGAAGTTTATTTTAGATAAAGAACAGAACAACATTCATGTACTGGTGTTAAAAAGAAGGAAATTCTTATTTCCTTTAATTTCAGCTCCTGGAAGATATGCAACAGAATTTCCAAAGGAAACCAACATTTTCCTTCTATTTAACAGAAATCAAAGACCCCTTCTTCTTCAAACAGGCATAAATTGTTATAAGCACTTTCCACTTTACCATCCCAGCCCGTCCCTTCCCTTCCCCTGCCTTTACTCCACCTAGTTTGCAGTCCATTTAACTTTTTTGGTTGGTTGGTTGGTCTTAATTCACACATCAGTGGGAAATGAGTGTCTAACCCTGAAGATTAGAACATGCAGACAGAAGGCTGTAGCAGCATTTAGCTGTATAACAGCTTCTCCTAGGATCCATGTAGAAACTAAGGTGGGTTATAGTCGCAAAATACACGTATCTCAGATTTTTCACCTTTTCTTAATGAGAATATTGCATAACTACTGCCAAGGGGGAAGATAGATGGGAAGATAGATAGAAAGATAGATAGACAGACAGATAGATAGATAGGACAGATTCTGTCCTCCTTGCCTTGTTTCCTCTGTGGTTCTTCCTGTAGGACTCTTCTTCCTCTGGGGATAAATATTGCTGCTTCTTACTCTGAAATTAGCCACCCCTGGCTAAGGTTTTTTGTTTTAGTCACAGTTAGGTTTTGTTATCCTTGCTAAGTTTAGATGTTTTTGAACACTTACGACTATTGTGGCTGAGAATCAGCACTGCAATTCTAATTTTGCGAAAACAGACAGAGGAGAGAAGATGACATTTTTATTATAAAACCCAGGACATTTTCTTCTCAAACAAGAGAAAACTTCATGCCTATAAAAAACCACATTCAACCTTCATTACATAAGCATGAGTGACTGTTCAGTGAACCAGGAAGCTAGATAAGTATCTCAAAAGTTTTCCTGGAGGTCTTCACATGGGAATTTGTATTGGTGTACCAAAATAAGCCATCCCCATGTAGTGAGGAAATCCTGCAGTTATGACAACACCCCTGGATGAATTGAAATCCAGAAGTTCTTCAACCAATTCTTCATCATTAAAGAAGAATGATTAAATACACTAATAGTTTCAGGGTGCTGCGAAAACTACATAGTTTAGCCAATTCTGAAGGACTAAATTGCATCAGGTTTTCACAATAGATATTGCAGTATCTGTTCTCAACACTTCAGGCAGCCAAACATCTCCTAGAAGTGATGCAAGGCACTGCCAACAACTGTCTTTGACAGAGAATAAAAGTCACATACTTTAAATGAAAAAATACTTGAATTCCATCCTACCATGCCTGCACTAATTCAGTAAAGTTATTTACCTTCCTTCTCAATTTCCACAGCCATCAGGAAGTTTGCAGATCCAAGACGGGGAGGTTCTTTAGCATTATGGAGCACAGGGCTCTTCCTGGAACATTATGTATTCAGACCAAAAGTCACAATAAAGAAAAAAGCATCAAAATTACACATTTTACACTGCTTTGATGTAAATTTTGTGACTGGTCTAACAGGTATTCAGTACTGTTCTGTACTGGTTAGATCTTCTTAAGAGCAGTATCTTCAGGGTAAAAAACCCACCACATTTCTGGAGCTCACAAATGAGGTGGTGAAGACAGTGACCCTGAGCAGGTCAGTAGTACCAGAAAACATAATTCAGTCAGAAGAGATGGTATTAAGCATAAAGTTATTCCTTGCATAAGAGCTCAGTTTTAAGAGGAACTCAAGGACATCTTACACTGAACTAATTGTGAATGTGAAGTGACTGCAGATCCATTAAAAGTGTTTCTTCTGTACACCGCAGTAACCAACATTTTTTGAGATTCCATCTCCAACATGTACTTCACTCATAGCACATTTTAAACCCTAGAAAGTGGTCTTTCAACTGATTTGCAAGGATCCCCCAGGAGAGGTCTTTCCCAGGTGCATTCAGGACTTGTACTGCTTCCTTACAACACCAGTGCTTCTACACCGTCCAGAAGTCCAGAAAGCAACAAAGACCTCGGACTAATTTTGAACACTCTCACCACCAGTGACCGAAGATATTTCAGTCAACCTTCTTCAAACACGGTTATTTTAAAAGCAAAATCATATAACTGGCCATTTCATGCAAATAGTAACATATGACTTGTGAAATGTTATTCACATAATCAAACCTCTGGTAAGATACAGCCACGCTCTTTCCAGCAATGGCACTTCAAATAGAATATTTCCTTCATCTCCTGACAACTTCTCAGCACATCTTAAAGTTTGTAAAGCATTGTTCTGCTGAGACAAACTTTTGTGCTTTAAAAGTCTGTTTCACTTAGAAGTGTCCAAATTCTATCCTGCATAGACTAAGTCCACATATATTTACTAGAGGAAGGTATGATCTACAAAAATATCATAACATCCCAGCCTAATTGGTATTCTACAAATGACACTGCATTTTAAGTGACAATTATCCAAGATCTTAGTTTCTAAATTAAAATTAATCACTTGAAAACTGATTAGGGTAGTTTTAAAAAAAAAGCACTATGCTTCTGCTTTAAAAAGCAGAGTTTGTTTTAGTTATCACTGAGCAATGTGAGGGGGGTAGCTTTTTCTTTAAGAAAGCGCAAAATAGCATTTTCTTTCTAACCGTAGACTTAATTTGCAGTCCAAAGATTGACAAATACCTACAGGAATCTAAATGCAATAAAAGAAAAGAAATGATGATCAAAGAATGTGACACCCCACAGCCCTTCAGTGAATGGGAACAGCAAGCTATGTTTGTTTCTAACTTAGCCGCTCAAAATTTTGTAACGAAAATGTTATCAATGAATTAAAATACCATCCCACAAGGCCATAAAACTACATTGAACTGGAAAAAATAACTTTAGCAAATATTTATCATCAGTTTCTGAAACCTTTCCATAGTGCATTGATTGAAAATGTGGTACTGAATTAACTCAAATCTGTTTTGATTTTGAATAACCTGTGAAAAAATAAAAAAAAACAATGTTCTATGTATAAATGTCTCTTGAACAATATTATTTAGACTTTAATTAATCATAAATCACAGTTATGAAACTAACAAATTACTGATGTCCTGTTACACTGATTTTTATTTCACAAACTATCATCTTAATGCTCAACAGCAAGATCTTGAAGAAGATAAATGCAGAACTTTTATACCAGCATTAAGAAAGTATTGATTTTAAGCATTCAGATGGAAAATGAAAGTATAAAAAAACAGAGCAGTCCAACTAACAAAAGCTTAAATTGTGGCAAAGTGCCATATATCCTATACTCTCCAAATAGCAAGCTTTTGTTGATTTAGCAGAGACTTTTCTTTGTGTCATGCTTTGACAAAAGAGAACAAGACTTGTAAGTCATATATCAGGTAAGAAAGAAAACAACATTTGGAAGAATTTCGTAGAAACATATCTTTGCTGAAGCGAGAACGAAATTCTTACTAATTTCTTAAGGAAGAAATTAGTAAAAATGTAACTACTGAATTGGTTAGTAGTCAAAATGAAGAAAGTACTACTTCCAGTGCCATTCAGACACCCCTTTTTTGTCTTAGTCACATGTACGCTTTTGTTGTCTAATTAAAAATTCTATATGTTACCATAACCTTGAGAACCTGACATTTTTCCTGCTGCTTGCATTCAGAAGGGTAGCCTACCAACCAACTGCTACAGCAGAGATCACACCACAAAGCATCTGCTTCTTCCACAAATGTCCAATGGAAAAAAAAAAAAATTCAGCATGCCACAGAACTCATCTGCTTCTTTTATACTGTAATGGTTGGCCATGCTACAACAGACAGTATTCCTGGAAAACCTCAGCTTCCTCTAATTGGACTTGAGGCACAACTGAAAATAAGATTTTCTGCAGAACAATCAGAACAGTCACTGAAGATGATTATTAGTTTTAAAATTACTTGATCTTTGAAGGACAGTCTACTATTTTTCAAGAGATCAGATGTTTATAAAATAAAAAAAACCAATCCTTTCTTCTTCTAGAAAACATTGCTGAACAAGTTTATTTGCTTTACTGAAGGACAAAACCAAATCACCTTACTTTCATAAACAATCCCAACCCTCAGAAAAACTGAATTTTTCAGGGTTCACAGGGAGTGCAGTAAGATCAAAGATATATAAACAGATGAAAGTCTTCTATACCAAACAGTTACTTAAGTATTTTATAAAGTTTCTCATTATTTTAATAGATGTATTTCCTATTATCTAGTGGATTTCATAATTTTATTTCACTTCTTACATGGTACTTGAACAAAAAGTATTTTAAATTTTTTTTCAAAGACAGCAATAAAAGTCTTTCAACAATGCTGACTGGCAGTTTGCCACTGCCATCAGTAAACCACCAGGGAAGACAGAAAGCAGAACCAAAAATAACATTCTCTAGTTGGGTCCATTTGCCATATGTTACACACAAAAATAAATAAATAAACCACCAACCAAAAACAAACATATGTTTCTCCAACAACCATAAACCAGGAAACAAAAAAATAATAAAATCGAACTACAACTCCTCAGTCGTTACCAACCCATTCCTCCAAGTACAGCACTTGTTTTTAAGGTACCTTTTTTTTTTCCTTTTTAAATGAGGACCTCTCAAAGTTAATTTTCCTGAACTTATTAGCAAGTGTTTATTTCTCACCACGGCAGTACTTTCTGTAGAAGAGCCAGTCAACAAGCAATTTACAGATTGCTAACATACAGCAGCAGCACACAGAAATGCAGCCACATGAAGGAGATCAGGCGTTGGAGCTTTTTCCTTACCTTTCCCATTTTGCCATGCAGTATACCAGGACAAACTGAGGAAAGTAGTGATGAAAACTAACACGGTGGCCACAGTTCCATTTCGGAGCCTCATCTCATTTCAGCATCACACTTGCTTATGTTCTGCTAGTGGAGAGGACCTGTCACTTGGGCTTGCTGCAATGAAGTCAGCTGAAGTATTCCAGCAGCAGCTGGACAACAGCAACATGAAATGTAGCTCTCACATATCAGATGTATCATAAATCAATCCATTCCAAACTGCTGTACGCTTTCTTCTAGTTCTCATCCATCCAGCTTCCCTTTATTCTTCTAGACCTGTTTAAAGGAAACAAAATTTTAACAGATTATGTCAAAAATACTTAGAAGAGTCCCCCAAGAACCAAAATATACTACATCTTTGCTGTGTCTTAGGTGCACCACCCTCTCACTGCCTCAGTCTTGGCTCAGAGAATAGAACTTGTTAGATTAATGTGTGCCTTTCCTAAGACTATTTGCATCTGGGGGAGCTGTATTTCACAGGAATTTGGTCACCAAAGGACAAACACACACATCACCAACATTAAAATTTGATTCTCAACTCAAGGGAAGGTCATATGTCACCTGGCAGGTATCAAACTGCTACAAAAGCTGCTTTCAGGATGCAGTAACTCAAGGCCCCACTCCTAAGACCTCATTTCAACAAAACCCCTCTGAAATGAGTGAGGTCTCATGTAACTGCAGGAGCAGAACCATCTCCAGTGAGTTGAGAGACCAGAGCCTTGAACACCATGTACAAACCTACATCTCTCATCTTTGCTCAGTGCAAGAGGATTTGATCCATCCACAACCATTTTTTCCCTATCTCATTTGCAGCTGAAGCACAGACCACAGTCCCACGTGCAGAGACCACTCAATCCATACCAACTGGCATCAACCCAGAAGCCCCCAAAAAACCATGGTGTGCTCCTCTATACCACACAGGCATAAACATAAAACCTAAGTTACCCACAGTTCAGTTTTATGCCTCAGGAAGGTTCCATATCCTGGTATTAGAAAATCATCAACTGGCCAAACACAGCCAGTTGTGTTAATCACACTGTCCTAAGCAAGACAAAGAGAGTATACAGGGCAATAAATAAACCGACTTTAAAAGAGAGGGGAGAGGTTTTCAAAGTATTAAATCATCTCTACAGTAGTCAAACATTAGCAGACAACATTCTTTCAAGGCACTGCCAAGTTTTTTCCCCCACTATAAACTATATCTGATACAAGTATGTTACTCAGCAATAAATAACTTGCTCTGCATTTTCTTTGGAAGCAGTCTCTGTCACCTTCTTGCCTTGCTGCATTCAGAACAACAGGGGAAAAAACTCCACTCTTTATTATTATAGCACCAATAGATTCCAGTCCAATTTGAACTATTCTTCCCAAGATTATATCACAGCACATATTACCTCTACCAACGGGCCCACAAAACAGGGCATAACCAACAAACATGGTTAACAAAAGAATGGAAACGATCAATAAAGTTGCAGAACCACACACTCCTGTGTTCTAATCTCAGTCACATCACCTAGATTACTGGAAGTGTTTACCTTTGGACCACAGTTACCTCACCTATAATGCCAGTAACGTGCTCTATTTGAGGAACTTCATGCACAGATAGGTTTGTGGCTTTAAACATTAACTCAGAAAGCACACAGTACCTACAAGGAAGAGAACAAATGCAAGCACATGGGAAGCAGACACAGTGGATGGTAAAATTCAGTGAGAAACAAAATAATGAACTGGAATAGAAAGAACTGCAAAACACCTTATGATATGAGAAAGCCAAGCTCAACACAATGAGAGATAAGGACAACTGAGACACCTACAAAGAGCCAACACAGAGAGCACAGAATGCCAAGAAATATCATCAGTACCAGCATTCTGAAGTGGAGAGGGACACAATAAAAGCCAGAAGTATCGGCAATGATAATTGTCTTGATAAACTTTAATAGCAAGGAGAGGCAAAGATCCCAAGTCCCAAAGTTTTATAAGGACTGTCTATGTGAATTTAGGAAATTCACGTCATCCCCAAACTACCAGAGTAAGTGACTAGGATACCAAGACTAACAGTTCAAATCAGATGAAGTTTCTCTGAAGCAAGGATGTTGTTATCCTGTTTCAGTATCCTGAAACTGTTACTTAGCTTCCCCATTATTTTAGCATCAGACAGATCTCTCTGGAGCAGTTCAGGTGTGCACAAAGGACCAGGCTGCAAGCTAGAGGGATTATCCCAGGGAGGGCAACTGGCAGCTGGTCCAACATGCAAACAAGAGAGGGCAACCAGGCAAGTAGAAATATTATCCGATAATGCAAGGAACCGTCTGCCTTTCCAGAAAACACAGGCATAATTTTTACATTAGCTGCAACAAAATCAAGATGCTGTGATCAGGGCCTCTCATTGTGCTATCTGAATCCTCAAAAAGGGAATCAGAAAAAATTCAGAAAACAAAAAGTAAAAGGAACAGCAGCAACCTGGTTCAACCAGCAGTCAGTATGCACATCGTGTCAAATCAATAACTATCATGAGTTTGAGTTGGCTGGTTCTGCTTTCATCCTTCTCTTCGGGTGTTGTAACCACTCCTCTTAGCACAGGCACCAGCAGCTCAGCTACAGCTCAGCAGTACTTAGATGATTATTTAAGCATTTCACTATATCAAACTGCATACATCAAGGCCATGCATAAACCAGATGTGTACCAGCTTTTAAAAATGTAATATAGCTAAACCAGCAGAAACACATGTGTAGTTGCACATAAATTATTTAAGTCCCAGGTGGTCACTTTAGGTTTGTTCAATAATTTACAGCACAATCTAAACAAATTTAACGGAGGAGTAATCCAGTTTGAGATGACAGTATGATAGTGTATAACTAGACAGATGAAGCCTATGAAATTTGCCAGCACCATTACGACCCGAATCTTTCCCCCTGCAGACCGAAGGGAATGACCCGGCTGGATGCCGAAGGCCAAGGGTGCTGAAGGTGCCGGCACCTCTCGGATGTGGAGCAGAACCCTACTGAATCACGTCTTAAATAAACCAAGAAGTTTCTGCTTGTATCCAGACACTCCCAAAATACATACAAAGCATATTCCCAACCGCAAACCATAAAAACTGACACACTCCAGTGCGCCTGCAAAGGCTCTTCACATAGCTGCTGAGGGGTTGGATGGTGCGGGATCACAGCACGAAGCGTGCCAGACTTCCGAGAGGATGAGCCAGACCCCATCCTGCCGGGAGGGTGCGAAATCACCTACCGCGGTAGCACGGCTGCACTGAAAAGGCTGCTCTTGAAGGCACGCAAGAACGGCCCGTGAGGAAACGGCAGCTAAAAGGAGAAGGCGGCGGGGACCTGCTAAACAGGGAATTTTCCGCCGTATTTCCACTGACGCGCTCCCCCACAGCCGCGGTGCGCAGCCGGCCGCCGCCACCCGCCGCCCTGGCATCCCGCAGCCCTCAAACCCGGGCAAGGGGCATCGGCTGCCTCCGTGGAAACCGTCCGAGTCAGTCAGGACCTTCCCCGCTGTCCCTCCGCCCCGGTCGCAGCTGTCTCGTCGGGGAAGCGAAAAATCGGGGGGGTGACGGGCACCGGGAACCGCCAGCTCTGCCGGGCGGCAGAGGGCGAGAGCTGACGGGGACGGAGGGAGGGAGGGAGGCGGGGAGGGAGAGCGCCGGTCCGGGAGCTGCGCGGTGCCCGGGGCATCGCGGCGAGGCTGCGGGGGAAGGAACAGACACAGGAAACTGCAAACTCCGCCGAACGCCCCTGCGATCCCAGCGCGGCGAGGAGGAAGGGTGGGGAGCGGGGTATCCCCCAGCACCCCAGCAGGAGAGGGAGAGGGCGCAGCGCCGCTCTGCCCCGGAGCCCCGCGGGCAGCCCCGAGCAGCGGGCGAAGGGAGAGGGCGGCAGCAAGTCCTGCGGAGGAGCGGCCGGTGCTCCCCGCACCGCCACGCAGGTGCACGGCAGCGCAGAGAAGAGCGGGCGGGCAGATGGCGGAGCAGGACGGCCCCCAGCCTCCCGCCGGCGACACCGCAGAGACCCGCGGGGAGGGGAAGCGCCTCCGCCGTGCTGCCGCTCCAGAGGCTGAGGAGCCGCCCGTCCCCGGACCCCCCCCGGAGCCGAGCCGGCGGTCCGCAAGGGCGCGGGGCGCGCAGGGGCAGCGGGACGCGCTGACCGCCGCTGCCGTCCTCACCTGTGCGCGGCGCTCCGGCACGGCAGACCCGCGGGGCGCGGGGGCTGTGCGGGCTCCGCCGGGGCTCTCACTCCCCTTCCCCGCCCGCCCCCCGCGTCAGCGGCGCGCCCAGCCCCAGCGCCCGCCCCCCGGCCCCGAGCGCCATGGAGCGCGCGGAGCCCCGCCCCGCCCACCCGCCGGCACCGCCAATGGGCGCCGCCGCGGATGGCGCCACTCATTGGCTGGGCTGCCTGTCATTCTCTTCGGCCGCGGCTATAAATGGCGCTGTCTCGCAAAGCCTCCCTCAGCGGCTGCGGCGGGAGCCGAGAGCGGGGGTGGTGGTTTGGAGTGCCGCTTGCGGCGGCGCGTTCCCTTTTTTGGAGCCGCTCTTGGAGGTTTGTGACTTCGGGAGAGCCCCGGGAAAGGCTTAACTGCGCCAGCGCTTGAGTGCTCATTGCCCCCTGCTGAGGTGCACTCTGAACTTGGTCGCTAGCCCACTACGTGGGTGTTTCTCCGTCTGCCTGTCAGTGCCGCACAAGCCGCACGTATCGGTGTCCCGTGTGACCTGCTGGCTCACCACTTACAAGAAGTCACAGTCATGAATTTCACCGTTGAGTTCATACCCTGCTAATAAACACCTCCCGGAGCTTGGACTGGGAGCTGTCGAAATTAAAGAGCGGGTTGTTGCTTCACGCCAGTAAAAGGAGCCCTGTGTGCTTTGTCCCGCTGAGGGCAGGCTGTTCTCGGGCAGCGGCGTGTGGGCCGCCCCGAGGTGCTCGCACAGGTACAGCCGTGTGGCTGGGAAAACCAACCCGGCTTTCTCCAGAGGTTCCTGCACTGTGCGATCACTGAGGGAAAGTCAGTGGCAGCTTTACTCTATGGGTTCCCTGTTTAGAGTCATGATGCTGCTGTTCTGTAAGTAACCCCCTATCTTCAGTGGTTTGTTTCATGTGTTCCAGGAATTCCATGAGTTCTTTAGGGTCTGAAAACTTCAGACCGCACGCTTAGCTTAGGGTAGGGTCCCATCTACCTCACAAGTAGCTCTTGACATGTAGTGCTAACTGGCTGGCAATGTTCAATCCTTTTCATGGATTGATTTCTTCCCCTTCTATGCTTACCTTCCACCTACTTCAAAGTCCATAGTATATCTTTTTAATCTCTATAGAATTATCAAATCATAGAATGGATTGTATTAAAGATGATCTAGGTCCAAGGCCCCTTGCCATGGGCAGGGATACCTTTCACTAGACCACGTTGTTCAAAGTCCCATCTCACCTGGCCTTGAACACTGCCAGGGTTGGGGCATCAATAACTTCTCTGGGAAACCTGTGGAGTTTTATTCTCCATTAAGTCTCTTAACGCTGGATGTAGTGGGATAGTTCCCCACTAGAACTTTAGAAACTGTGGAAAAATCGTGCAAGTTATTCTGTCTGCAGAGTGACATTTAACAAGTTTCCATATGCTTTCATGTTTTCTTAACAGTGCTTCAACACATTACAGTATTTTTACACATTCGGGTACCTGCACAGTAGCCCTCAGTGATTTTTCTGTCTTTCTCAGACATTTCAAAGAGGGTCTGGTGGCAATGCAGGCAGATCGCAATAAAGAATCTCAGGAGAAGTTTGCGAGGTCATGACACCCAGGCTGTTCTGTGATTTTACTCATTGAGTGGTGAGAATTTATTATGTAAATGTGTGCTTCAATCCTCCCTTTTACAAAGAAGTGGAATGAAGTGGATTTTTTATTGAAAAACAAATTTAGCACAATAACTTTCAAATAAAAATTAGAGCATGCTGCCCATCCTCATGCACACAGACACATCTATGGCAGAATTTTCTGTAGAGATCCCAACATTAAAGGCACCATTGTTTGCATCTAATAGATTAGTGCTGCTTAGGGATATGAATTTTTGCATTTCTGTGCTGGGAAAAAAAAACTGGCAGAGACGTTTTCAGATAAAAGTCCTTTTGTCAGGAGAGCTTAGTCTGCTGAAGAAAAGACTGTTACAAGATGAGTATAAAGGCAGTTATTTCACAGGGACTGTCTGAGCCTTCCTACTTTTTGTCCTTGCACTGATTGACCGTTTACGTTAGGAAGGTTTACTGACTGGAGCTTGTCAGTATCCAATTAACTATTAACTTCCCCAAACAATAGAGTGCATGTAATGTAGTTGTTCCTTGGCAGTCATCCTCTTGAGTTAGCTGTGCTTCTTTCCTGAGAAAGAAGGCAAAGTTCAAAACTGGGCAGGGGGGGGAAAAATCCACATTGCCCTCGTCTGACCTACTACAGCAATAATCAAATGCCTCTTGGCATATTCCACTGCTTGATGCATGGACAAAGTGCACAGTGAAGGAAATGCTGGAGCTGCCAGTGGAAAGGAGTTGGGGCAGGCACACTGAAACATCCCTTACTTCTGGTGAAGATGGCAGTCCCCTTTTAGGCCTGAACAATATTTAATGCCAGCAAATTTCTGAATTCATTCTTCCTGCTGAGTTATTCTTTTGTCCTGCAGCCACTGCTGTTCAACTGGAGTATCTGTCTGAAATGGGAGATGATTAAGCAATCCAAAACTCCAAAAATTGTATTTAAATGCGAGTGTAAGGTACATACACTGTAACAGCCTTAACAGGGGAGACCTGAGGGGAGAAAAATAAAATTTTAAAAATACAGGAAGTTTAAATCCCTAGTATTCCAGCTTTGGTTGCTGAAAAAAAAGAAAAAAAAAAAAAAAAAAAAGCCAAACAAAATACTTGCTATTCTATACCAGCAGGAAACACACAAGCGAGAAATGAATAATCATATTTCAACAGAGGGAAGACTTCATGCTGAGAGATTTTTAAGGTATTACCTAGCTATCAGAGTAAAGACAAATTGGTAAGAGATGCTCCAGGCCTGCCATAATTTCATATATGCTGCAGTGGCTGCACACCTGGGTAGCCAACTTCTATAGAGCTGTGTGTTTGTTGCTATTCATCGGCTCTAGATCCTGTTTTATCCAAGCATTTTCCTGACTACCTCAGAAGCTCAGCAACTGTTGTTGTTCTTGCATTTCACTGTGTTCATGTTCTGGCATTCTCGGGCACTGAGAAAGATGCAAAAAAGATAGAAGTGCTTGGCAGTGGCAGCAAAAATCTGAATGGTTGTTTGGCTGAAAAATGGCCATCTGAAAATTGTCAGCATTTCCCAACCAAAAATTGAATCCTCTCTTAGAGAAAGGATTTATTCCCAGCCTGCCACTTAGCCCTGTTTTTCAACAGAGCAAATTCCTTTCAGTGCTTCTACCTCCATTTAACCTCAGTTTTTCTTTTTTCAACTGTAAACCTTTCATGACCATATCTTTTTTGCTTTATGTTAGCTGAGCATCTTGCTCAGAGAAACTGTATTTTGCTGGGCCTTTTCCATACTCCCATATCAACAATGAAGAAAGAGGAGCACAAATACACCCAGTGTATATCACAGAAGGACTGGCCACGGTTGTCCACTGCCCCTGCAACTGTTCTGTGCCCCAGGCTGGCTCCTGCTTAAGGCCACGTGCCAGTACATGGATGGGAGAAGGAAAAGCCAACTGCCCTTCAACCACGTTCTTATACCCAGAGTGCTGAGGAGCTGGGCTTCAAGTCATGGCACAGCACAGGGAGGATCTGAGGCCCTCACCCAGCACCATGGCAGGGCAGGAGGAGGCCAGGCTCATGTGAAGGGAAGGGAGGAAGAAGAGGAGCTTTCCTGTCGCGGACTCTCCGTGTGTGGAGACACGAGGCTTGACTCCATTTCAGAAGGCTGATTTACTATGTTAAATATTATATTAAAATGCTACATTAAGACTATACTAAAGAACAGAGAGATCAGAAGGCTCAACAAGAATAGAACAGAATAGAATAACAAAATCCTGTGACTGCTCACAGCCTTGGCACAGGTGGTTGTGATTGGTCATCAATGGAAAACAATCCACATGGACCAATCACAGATGCACCTGTTGCATTCCACAGCAGCAGATAGTAATTGTTTACATTTCTCTCCTGAGGCTCCTCAGCTTCTCAGGAGAGGAAAAATCCAAGCAAAGGATTTTTCATAATATCATGGCTACACTTTCCCATCCCCTTCCTACGAGTAGTTTAAACTACTCGTATGAAAATAGAGAAGGTTTTCCCATCTCACAGACAGATTTCATGCTCATGCAAATTCAGATCTCATTCCAGTTTTGTAGATGTAAACTGAATCAAATGAATGCCTCAGTTGCTGAGCTAGTTTGCAAAATACAGGTTTTGGTTTGTAGTATTGTAAACTTATTTTGTACACAAAGCTGCTAGATGTAGAGTTCATGGCTCGTGTAGCAGCTGTTGTAGCACTAATACTCAACAAGAAAAGGGACACA